CATAATGAACACATGAGGTCACATTACACTAATAAGAGTCGAACCAGCAACTGCTTATCAGGGATGTTAATGTTTCATCTGCAACATGGTAACACTGTAGTGTCCTCTTACAGCAAAGTATAAGTCCTACCAGTTTTGCACCTGCAAAATCTTGTTTACTTCATTTAACAGAAATGAATTCTGAAATTTTGAACGCTGAAAACCTTCAGCCTTACAGAAAGAGGAAAAGAGAAGGAAACCTTACTTGGCCCAGGGTGCATTCTAGTTCACCCAGGAAGTCATCGTCAGTCAGGTCAATTGTCTTGTTGTCAATGTCATAAACTCCAAACTTCAGCTTTTGCACTATTTCAAAGTAGTAATCAACGACAAACTTCTTTGCAAACTTTGGGCTGAGACAATTCTGGACTTTCTCTGTGCGACCCACCTGTTAGAAAAGATTGTATCAGTTAGTCAGAGAGAAATTAGTGCTGTGAACTCTTCACAAAGCAGTAGTTTGTATTGAGACACACAGTGAGGAAACAGGAAATGGAAACTATCCCTTCAGGGGGGTTTTAACACTGTTAACAATTAACACTAAACTGTAGCTTTTCTCCTACAACAGTGATATAACCGATTGCACCTAGAGAACATGTGGGCTTTCCAATATCCTGTCTTATCAGCTTTCCAGTGTAGGGAGAGACTCTTAGAAATCTATCTGTTCCTTTCAAAGTTGGTATGGAATACAGGCTCATGATGGTGGGTTTGACACTCAAATCATTTAGACCTGCTAAACACACTGACCTCATACCACTGAGAATCAGAGCTGTTCATTAACAGGACACACAGGGGGTCTGACTTTGAGCCGACGTCTTTGTCCAGGAGGTTCTCACAGGACACAGTCAGCTCCACCTTGGTTACACACTGGGCAGCCATGTCTGACTGGTAATAAACTGGGAAGACAACAACATAGAGATGTTAAAAAAAAACAGACATTGCACTACACAGTACTATGAGTCCTGATTTAACAGTAAGTGGCTGTGGTAATGTTTAGTGAAGATCGTCCTGAAATACTGACATTTTTTGCGTTTGTTTACGTCGGTATACAATTGTGACGCTACTGTTAGCCCTCCCAGCCTCCCTCTAAACGAAACCATTCGTGCAGCTAGGCAGTGATGTTGTTCTAACACACCGACGGGTTTGTTTTGTTTTTTGTTTTCGGGAGGATTTTTTTTTGCTTCGACATTAAGTTTAACTATTAGCGGTCTAACGTTACACTACATTAGGGGTGCTAACGTTACACTATCCCGTTATGACTAAGGTAGCCAATGAATTCACTTATGTACAATGCTTCTCTGCTGCACAGTGTCTTGGAAAATGTGACACAACCATTAATGCCGTGCAGTGGGTGTGGAGCAGAAAAGCTAAAGAGCACTTTAAAAAAAAGACTGCTCGTAGGCTCACAGGGCTAATAAACTGACAACTAACTAGGTTAGCTGGTATACCACGTCAACTTCCGCAAAATTAGTAATAGCTAGTTTAAATTCAGGCTTACCTTTGAAAGTGTGAGACGCGTTATGGGACTCACGGAAAGAAAATATTGGCTACTATAACCGACACTGGTAACACTCCCTTGGCACAGTGCTCTTGTAAGGAAAAGTAGCTCCCGTCCGCTTAATCTCGAAAGCACGAAACCACGCCCACCACTTCAAACGAACAGGGGCGTCACCAGGAATCTGTGTGTGCGGGTGGCTGGGTGGGGGGCTAAGGGCAAGAGGGGGATATATGATCAATCTGATATAAAACCAGTGTAAACTACTTTAAACTCGAGTAAAGCCAAAAACAAAACACTGGGTACAGTTTTCAAACTTATATGCAGTATTTTGTCCTGCTAATGATCTATTACTGATCACCACCTGCACTCATGTATATATCTTTCTACGTAGCACTCTTAATTCTTATTCTCATGTATATATCTCATGTATAGCTCATGCACATATCTTTCTACGTAGCACTTTTAATTCTTATTCTCATGTATATATCTCATGTATAGCTCATGCACATATCTTTCTACGTAGCACTTTTAATTCTTATCCCTACTTTTATTTTTTCATGTCTATTTAAGTGCTATTTATGACACTATTTAAGTGTTATTTATGACACTATGTTTGCACTGAAGCACCGCAGCAATTTCCTAATGTTGTAAACCTGCTCAACATTTGGCAATAAACCCCTTTCTGATTCTGATTCTGATTCTGATTACATGAAAAGTGGAGCTGCACAAGAGTTTAAACATACTTTAGTGTTGGATAATGGTTTTGCAAAATATGGGGGGGAAAAAACCTCTCACTTTTTACTACAGCAGTGGCGGATCTAGAAAATTTTACATTGGGGGTGGCAAAGGAGGGGCAAGAGATCTCGGCAGGGTGGCACATCTTCAGTGATGTATGTGTAAATGGAGTCAACAAAATATCCACAAAAATGCTTTAAAACTATTAATTGCATCATTACCTCTTCTAAGGAAACACAGACAATTGCACAAGCAAAATAATTCCAAGAAGACCTCCTTCCAAGGTTCCAGGAATGTCACAAACTGGATGGGCACTCTCTGCCATTTGCTTTGTTTCTTTCAAGAAGTCGTATTGTATGGCACATCTCAGTTTGTAAGTCTTGCAATTCAGAGTCATATATGGAGAAATGATCTCACCTATCTATAATGGGAAGGAATATAGAGACTCTAAAGGCATCTTTGCTGTTGACATTTGTTTTCTGTCCAAATGTAGATAAGACTAAGACTATCAGACAGTCTGGTAGATGTTTGTTTTGGTCTTTTTGATTTGGCAATGGTAGAAAGATGGCAACTACTGCATGTTTCAGTGGCTATACGCCACAGCTCGTCAAAGCTCTCCTCTTTGAGGCAGTCTTCAAACGTCTGTCGGAGGCTTCATTAAGGTCAGCTGCTTTGGCAGGGTCCACATTTATTGACTGGAGCTTCTCAGACAAAATCTTTGTTTCACGTAAATTTTTCTGAAGACCATAAGGAGTCCCGTGGAGTCAGTCTGAGAGCGTAATCCTCTTGCATCTACAGCATTTTGTGGATTTTCCTCCAGCGCTCTCATTACTGCAGACAACCTGCCAGGAAGGTTTTTATGCGTAGCAAAGCAACAGGACCACCTAGGGTCACTCAGTTTTGGTCATTCTTGTGCTGGCATACCAAACATTTCTTTTTGAATATTAATCTGATTATTGTGATGTGAGCCTGACATGAATGTATACAGTCTTTCCAGCAGTGAAAAAACATGCAGCTTCTGCGACATCTATCACAGAGTCAGCACCACGTTCTCTTTATATTACATCTCTTACTTCTCCAGACATCAAATGATCTTCTCTCTTAAACTGGAAGCATCCAATTGTTCTGCTCTTTGGTATTCAAGGAAGCTCTCCTGAGTCGCACCATCATAATAATATCTTACAACTAGAGACGACTGCTCAGTTTTTGTTTTTTATGTCCTTTGTCTCATGTGTAAAATAGAAAAATGTTAACTTTCTTTAACATTCTTGAGGATTTCCTCACTCACCACTTCAGCCAAACATCCCAGAATCTCCATTTGAGTGCTTTTGCTGATATATTTTGCATTTGTGGGACCTTGTGACGGTCGTCTTTTCACCAATGCATCATGTTTGCTTATTAGATCTAAGATCTTAAGGACATTTCTCTGGTTTTGTGGGGTTTCTGTTTCATCATGGCCATGTTCAGAAAGGTTTTGGGTGGCTGTCAAAAGCAAAATTTCAGTCAGAGTTTGAATATAATTCTGATTTAAAATAACTTACTGTTTGTACCATTTCTACCGCTCACTGAGGAAACTTGTTTTTGTTGCTCCGTGAAGTGTTTTGGGTAATATTTTTAAATGTGGCCGCACTACTGCATGTGATTAATGTATGTACTAAACCTTCAGCAGACATTTAATTCATTACAAACTTATTTGTCTTAAACGTTTTGTGTTAAAACATCACCAGGAGAAACTGATTTCACCTGGAGAAAGTTGGGCTGCTCAGTGGCTTCACTCCGCTGCGTTGCAGACCATCGCGTGAGCATTTGTTTTTCAGAGACCTAACATTATATTTACAATTATTTAATTTTAGTGAATTAAAATTTAACTTAAAGGGTATAAGATGCTTTTGGACAAACAAGCAAGTATTTTAAAAGCAGCACTCTACAACACGGGTGCAACACAAATGAGCACAATATAGAAATACCTAAATGAAGTAATAGTGGATTAAAGTAGTAAATGTAATTAGTGACATTCCTACTGGTTAAACGCTTGCTCTAATCTCATGTTAATGAAAAATAACAGTACTCAAGCCCAATCGCATTATCACATCATTGAGTCATTTCTGCCTCCGGACTTTTGAAAATGATGCTGCCTTAACATATATCATTGCTCTGTCTAGGTCAGCGTTCTTCCAAGTTTGCAGTCATGGCATTTCATTCTGTCGCAGTATCTAATGATTTATTTTGTAGGTATTACTGGAAAATAAAAGCATACGAGACACACTTCAATATATTTATATTTATTATTGTTACTTTTATTGTATTACCTGCAAAAATATATATAAAGAGAAAATAAAACAGAATAATAAGGAATATAAATAGCATTGAATAAAAAAAAACACACCAAAAATTCATTTTTTTAAAATATAGATTTATACCAAAACTGACAGGGAAGAGATTTTGCTTTAGTTGCACCAGTGAGTTGAAGTCTCACCTGTAAAGCTAAGAAATATTGCTTGAACTGGGTTACACACAGACACAAAGAACAACATGCGAAACTGGCTGTTGCAGTATTTTTCACCATGACAAGGATAACTCCTGGTATTTTTCCTTCCACTGTGTTTTATATCAAAGTAAAATACTGACAAAGTTAGCGTCCATTACAAAGACATGTATAGTGCATAAGGCAACGCCACAGTCATCAGTGTAAACAGCTCCAAATATCAACAATGAATTTACACATACACCAAGGGAAATGTATCGGGGGATTTAATAAATGTTGAAGTACATTTTTTGCTACTTCCTCTTAAGACAAAGTAAAAATCAAAAAAGTACACTGTGTAAAAAAAGGATTTTCTTAATCACTTTGATTCTTTTTGCATGCAAGCACATTTAGTATTTTTAATCAAAATCACATAACTGTAAAAAAGTCTATAAAAACAGAACAACAAATGTATTATTTTGAACATCGGGATCAGTACATATGGATTCATTTTGTAAAACTTACTGCATCACACCTGAAATCTGCTGGAAATATTAAATTGAAATGTATTAAACTGAAATGTATATATTCCATTACAACATGAAATGTGAAAACCAACAAAGAAGTTATGGCTGTAATACAGAGGAGATGATATCAGCACAAACTTGGAGTACCCAGTTAAATACTCCAGGCCCTGTCATGTGACTAACAGTCAACAACTCACCCAATACAACACAGTTACAATAAATCCTTTAATAAAGGTAATAAAATAAAAGCAACATTTATATCTGGCACTTAACTGACATAAATTTCCACATATTAGCAAATATTAGGAAATCTTTGATAACATTAATGCAGTATGGCTTTACTCTGTAGCTGCAGGAAGTTTTCCTAAAAAATTCCAGGTGAGGAATCACAAGACATTTGTAGGTAAGACATTAAGAAGGAAAGATAGTTTTCAGAATAAATCACAGAAGGGGTGGCGCAGATGCTGAGAGGTCAGAAGTAGGTGTGCAGCTCTCAAGCGGCTTCAAATTGAAGGTGTTGAAGAAGCCAGACACCTGATCTGGGATTTCTGCCAGGACGCTCTGAGCAAGCAGTTCTTTAGGACACTGAGACAAAGGGCAGAGACAGAGCAACAGTGAAAGTGTGCCAAACACACACACAGAAACATGCAGTTAGAAAAGAAAGCAGGGAGGTTGCAGAGCTGCAGCTGTAATTTGAGAAGAGCACCAAGAGAAGGTGTTTAAAGTTTAAGCTAGTCACATGTTCTTACAGCCAATAAAACCAGAGCTAGAAAAGCTAGAAAACTTCACATGGCTTCGACAGAGTCGTGCATCATTAAGTTACCGTTTTGTGCTCATACAAACCTACAGTATATGATGACTTAATGCACCACGTACTGTGAACAATCAAGGCATGACATAACCTTGAAAAAGCAAGGTTACTATGATATTTATAAATCCTGATTGCAGCTCGGATCAAATGAAGGGAAGGATGAGGGGCACGATCAGCGTGTTGGTTGGGGTACTCCTGCACATTTTAGGTAGGACTCGGTTCAGTGGGGGGCTTCAGCTCAAATAACTTGAAGAAGGAGGCCAGTTGGTCAGGCAACTCTGCCAGTACACTTTGTGCAAGGGCTGCACTGCCCGCCTGAAATAAGATGTGCAAACATTCAAATGTTGGTGGTGTTGGTGCATCTGGACAAAGAGTGTGCTTTATAGCTTGCCACGGCTTACATTTTGGAACTTCCGGAATGGCACAAACTGCACGATGTCCCGCATGGCGTTCTCTCCTGTTGTCGAACGCAAAACTCCATCGTCTCCATCCAGGAACTCCATGGCACTGAAGTCCGCCCCTCCGACCCCGACGATGATGATAGACATGGGCAGACGAGAGGCGTTGACGATGGCGTTGCGCGTCTCGTCCATGTCCGTGATTACTCCATCAGTGATGATCAGGAGAACAAAGTATTGCTGTGAATCATCAGGACAACAGGAACAAAAAAAGCAGCAGAGTGGAGCAGTCAGTTGACATTAGGACTGCTTTGATTGATTCCAAACTTTCTGTGACTCACAGATGCAGTTTGCTGCTGCAGCGCCTGTCTTCCAAATTGGGCGACGTGGTTGATGATTGGGGAAAAGTTTGTTGGGCCGTAAAGCTTCACCTGGGGCAGACACTGCTGGTAGGCAGCAACCACACCCTCTACACCTGAAACACACACAAAAAACCATCATAAAGTCATGGGTCACAGTTACATGAAGGTGGATGAAATGTACCGTATCACCGCACTAAAGCACGTTGCTCAGACTGCAGGTTTACTGTAGTTGTGGTTTCTAGGATATTAAAAAGTAGAACAGGAGGCAGAGCCTTCAGCTTTCAGGTCTGTTTTATGTGCAAACAGCTCCCAGTTTGGATTCAGGAGACAGAAAACCTTTCTTCTTTTAAAATCAGCCTTAAAATGATGTCTTTTAATAAAGTTACAGCTGGATCAGGTGAACCTGAATCCTCCCTTATTTACACTGGAACAGGCCACTGAGGGCTTCCCATGATGCACTGTGTTTCTTCTTCACGCACCTCTTTAGACTCTCCATGTGTTAATTCACCACTCTGCATTTAATTATTAGTTATAATTCATCTTCGTCTTCTTCCCCTCAGCCCCAGCTGCTCAGGGCAGATCACTACCACTCACAGAGCCTGGTTCTGCTGGAGGTTTCTTCCTGTTAAAAGGGAGTTTTTCCTTCCCACTGTCGCCAAGTGCTTGCTCAAAAGAGGGTCATCTGATAACACTGCAGGGTCTTTACCTTACAATACAAAGCACCTTAAGGCAACTGTTGTTGTGATTTGGCACTGTATACATAAAACTGTATTGAATTGAATTTTATACCCAAAGGTACGTCCATGTTTATTAAGCAATAGGTCACAACATAGAAATTAAATTATGAGAAGAACAAGATGCAAAAATAAATCTACTAATATGTTAAAATTAAAATATCTCTTATTTAGTGTAAAACATATAATTGTTTTCTCCGTGTTGCAGCTGTTCTGCACACTGGCAAATCTGAACATAGACTGACCTCCACTGTGCTAAATAACTGCTAATGTTTATACAAACACATGGCAGTGTGAAACAAATCTCACATTACATTCAGTCTGTTATTACCTGCACAGAATGGATTGGATGGGTTGAAGTTGATGGGAAACTCGTGGTTGACCTGCACACATAAACAACCCAGATCCCAAATGATCGTATCTGCAATGGCTTACACTTACCTACAACACAAACAATCTTTCTGCCGCGTGTCACATGTACGCAAACATCAAAAGTGCAACAATCACCTGCCATGCAGGAGGAATCTGTGCTCCAAAACCAAAAGCAGGGAACATCTTATCACTGTGCAAAAGGAAGCAATACAAAAATAAAGACTGTTAATGTCAGTTTGTAAAGACCAGTGAACATTTAAAATTAAGTCTTTTCGTCCGACTCTTTACATTAATGTTCTTCATGGTTCTATTTAAACAAGACATCCTGGCCTTGCTTCTCACGCTGTTATGTTTTCACTTTGTTAATCATTTATTTTCCTGTAGTGCAAGAAAACTAGTGAATATCAGGATGATAAGCTGGTGCTCTGGCTTAATGCCTGTCAGCTGACATGCTGCATTAAGTGGTTTGCTGGGAATTCGGTTATTCATGCATTAGGAATGAACGCTCAAAATAACAGATAAGTACTGGTCAGATTATTAGTATTTTGCTGCTACTATCATGGTGAGAGCAGAGATCTATTATATTCATTCCCAGCAGCATATTCACCATGGGCCACCTTTGCTGCTAGCCCCCTCCCCTCTGTTTGAGCCACCTTTCTCCTGACTGACTCTCTCATTAACTTGAACAGGAGGAAGGTGGGTCCCTGTGCTGAGTTGGTAGTGTTCACACAGCCACGAGTAAAACAGTCTGAAGCTGGAGCTTTTGGCTCACAAGGGATTACATGCCCACACACTGACCTCATTATTTGAAACTTGTTGAATGTGGGCAACTAGTACTGTGATATATTAGGTCTTTCAAGGCTTGTAAGAATGATTGTGAGTTTGCCAAAGGCGAGGTGCATATTAAGACTTACAAACGACATGTTAAATTGCATTGAAATTACTGTAGATGAACTGATGAAGTGCACAGAAACCTTTAAGACTAGAAAAGAAAAAGTTACGGTGGAGCTTGTTTTTAAATCGGTCTGACTTATAATTTTTCTGAATGAAGGAAAACAGACTTACTTTCTGCACCTGCATAATCCTTTATGTATGTATTTACCTGTCGTAGTCCTGGATGACATTACCAACTGCCCAGATGGCTGCCAGGTACTCATTGTAGCCCTGAGGGTTGATGTAGTGGAGTGACTGGGGGAATTTGGGATCCCCATTGGAGCCTGTGAAGTCAATTGCGATCTGCGCCGCCCCCAGAGGGATGTGTTGCATTTTTTTAATAAACGTCAGTTAATTATGAATGAATCATAAAATGTCAACGTCAGGTAAATATTTCAGGTGTGTCTCCAAATGATAACTGGAAGGATTAGGATTAACAAATAAATGTGAAACTCACAGTGAAGTTAATCTGACAGCCTCCCATTATGTAATCCAGAAACGTGTACTGCCTCACTATCTGCAAACACCACAAGAGTTACTGTGCAGTAGTATTTATCTATTAAGAAGGGTAAACATGTTGTTTCTTGTGCTCCAGCAGATAAACAACAGGACGAATGATATATCTAAAAACATAAGAAAACATATCAAACACATATTAAAAACATCTAAAACCAGTGTACCTTGCTTTTTTTTATGACGATGATGCCAGAGTTTTTATATCCTTTCTTCTTCTCTTTTTTTTTGCTGTTGATGCACTCAAATTCCGCCTGTGAAGAAGAGAAACACAGCATACAGGTGTCAGGATGTACTTCCCCCTCTCTGCTTATTCTTAAGCAAAATGTTCAAACTGGCAAACACACACACACACACACACACACACACATGAACTCACTGCAAATGTTTCTGTTGCCTGCTGGATTTGACTGAGCGAGGTCTGAAATGTTCCAATGAAGTCGTGATCGCCACTGTTGTTGTGGTCATAACAGTCAATCTAGCGAACAGAGACAGCGAGGAGAGGTGAGACTTGGAATCACCAAATTTTGCACCGAAATGATCAGCGGCACTTGGAAATCAAAGTAGGTGAGGCAAAAGCATGGTGGGTGTGAAGCTTCAAATGTAAGGCGACTTCATGATACTAAAACGTCAACCAGAAACACACACACACACACACACACACACACACACACAGAGGCCATCTAAGCTGGCAAATGGGGTGACAGAGTTCCTCCTTTAGAGCGATTGCAGGACCTGCTCACAGTCACACACAGTAGATTCTGTAACACTTTCGGCATTGAGAGAACACAGAAAACACAAACAGCTCCATACACAGCATGGGCCTCAGTCACACGGGCCTATAAACCAGTCTGTCGGTGACCCCTCAGTAACCTCTGTTGACTAGGAAAAATCTAAATTCCCAGACCGGGTGGCAAGTGGTTACTGAAGGTTGCTGGATGTCGCTACGTAAAATCAGTTGCAAAGATGGAGCTACACCAAAAACCTCCCCGTCTGTGGCAAGCAGTTGGTGTGGAAGATGCAAATTTGTCTGCAAACACGTGCTATTTGTTCTCCAATCTGTAGTGAAACTTGAAAAAGCTTCATTGAACATTTGAAAAAGGAAACGCGGATTGTCACTCCCAAAGCTAACGTTGTGCTTTAGCACTGCACTGACACTCTTCAATCGGCACAACTTTCACTTTGAAGGTGAACAGTCCCTGTTTCCAGTTTGCATATTCCACTGCCGTTTAGAGAACAGTTTGTGTTTGCAGACACATCTGCATCTTCCATTCAGTGAAGTGGCAACTGCAGCAACCCGCTAGCAACCAAAGCGATCGCAAGGATTGTTATGCAGCACCGTATTCCTCTTTACAACTAATTTCACACTGGTGACTCTTCAACAGCTATGAAAGCTAATGGGTAAGTAAAACAATGGATCCATCTTAATGGAAAACTTGTCCCATTTGGAAAACTGACCCCTTGGTTAGCTTACCTAAACCTTTATATCAAATTAAATAGAATCAGTGGGCTACTTTGAGCTTCTCCCTTATTCACAGGGGTCGCCACAGCAGATAGCTCTGTATGTTTGATTTGGCTAATTTTTTGCTCTTCCTGACACAACCCTCAACGGCTTTGTGTCTCCTCCCAGGATCAAAATGGGATATAGTGTGGAGCCACCAAATACAATCACCAGTAAACTTCATAAATAAGCTTCATATCCTGTTTAACAGGAATATTTGAAGGTTCAAAAAGATGCTTTTGTCAGCTGTTTTTGTAATCAGAGATCATTTTTGGACATAAAGTGTTGTTAATTACATTTGATTAAAGGCGCTCCCAGACTGTGTCAGTAAACGATCAGGTAAATTTAACCAATGGGCCAAACTCCTTGAAAGTGTGCGTTCCTTTAAGATAGATGTTGATGCATCCAGGACTTGAGCCGGTCCTGCCACAGACCCTGCATCCTTCACATTAACAGCATTCCATGTTGACACTGTCGACAGTTACCTCACGTGTACTGCTGACTGGAAAGCATCTCTTCCTGATAAGTTTGCCTTAATAAGAGTTAGAGGATGGAAACAACATAAACGAATACTCACAACAAATCTTTAGTGGCAGTAAGATCAAGGATATGCAAGTTATGCAAGAGGGAGACAACAGAGGACGTTTACGGTTCAAATCTTTCGAGATGAAAAACGGTGAAGATAAAAGCTTCAGTAGTCATAATGTTTGTTTTTAGGATATATGTGTAAAAAAAACAAACAAGCTTTCTCACGATGCCTATGTTGTCTCCCTGCTACACTGGCTATCAGCCAGTGTGGTGTTTTAAACATCAGCACCACTCCAGAATTTCACAATTAGTGCATAACAACTTTCCAGTTTTACTGGCTGCTTCACATCATTCAGCTCTGCAGACAGTTAGGAAAAAAAGAAAGCAGCATACTTTATGTGTGTATGAGTGTGCGTACCTTGATAGGTTTCTCAACATCGCCTGCACAAAGTGACTGAATTGGGATTTGGAATGGTCTCCAAACGGGATTTAGGTTATTTTTCACCACCTGCACAACAACACAGATACAGAAAGACTTCCTCTGTTGGGAGATGTAACTGTACAAACGTAAAACACTTTTCCCCGTGCGCCAGAAAGCCTCAAACACAATGAGTGCAGGTTTACCTCTGTCCTGTGAGCCAGCTGCCATCCAGTTTCTGTCTGCTTGTAGAATTCCAAGAAAGGGTCGGATTTGCCAAAAAAATCCTGGAGAAAAAAGGGAGGAAAAAGCAGGCAAACACAGATTACACTGTAAATTCTAAAGTGAGGATAAAGTGATGACATGTTTTAGACCACCATAACACGATATCGATCACTGCTCATCAGCTGCCTTTACCCTTTTTCACCTGGAGTTACGTCCAGCTAACTGTGTCCAAGAGTCATTACTAAACTAAACTTACTACACAGGCACAGCTCGAGTTGTCCAATCACATTTCAGAGAATTTTCAGATTCAATAATCTTAACTGTCACATCCCTGACACTTAAAAAGTTTGGCTTCACGTGGAAATGTCTTCGTTTGGGAAAGAAAGACATTTATATTTTTGCATTTAATAGAATTTTGAATTGATCAGAAATGCTATCAGTGACAATTAAAGGTTAATGGAGACATTCATCAGAAATCATTTTGAAAAGATCCACATTCTGTAGGTGCACATTGTGTTACCTAATGCACACCTAACGGATCAAACACATCTGAACCCAGACAATCTGTCTCTCAGAATCCAGAGGCCGACCAACGGTCTCTTTTCCCCCACTTGCTAAATTGTACTCTGGTTCCTATTCTAGGGTGACTGTAGCTCATGAGGTCATGTGCTGGTGGGAAGGTTGGTGGTTCGATCCCTGTCTCCCCCAGTCTGTGATGCATCTGGGGGCAAGATACTAATTCTAAGTTGCTCTCTGATGCATCTGTCACAGTATGAATAGAAAGCACTTCAAAGGATGGGGGGGAGGTGAATGTGGCATGTTGTATAAAGCACTTTGAGTGCTCTGGGTGAGTAGAAAAGTGCTATATAAGAATCAGTCCATTTACTATATCTGTCCTTCTATTCTGGGAAGAGCATTGTTCTCTGCAAACTCTCACCACTGTGTGAAATCATTGAGAAATGCCTGCATGAAGTGGCAATCCTTGTTTTAAAAGGAAGAACAGTCTGGCTAATTTTCTGGCCTTTTAACACAATACACTTGCAGCTTCATGAAAAGTTTCCCAGTACAACAGATTATGGTGGTTTGTGAGGAAACTGGTACATGCTTCCCTATGAATTCAACTTCCCAATTACTATGATTTCAACTCTTAACTAACTAAATTGTTGGTTGTGTAATCCAAAAAATGTGTCACTGAAACAAAGCTTTTCATTGGAAACACTGCAAATGTTTGCCTACGACCACTGATTCTCACCCAAAACAATTTTAATCAGTTCAAGTGCTTTTCTCTAAATATAAAAACATAACGTTTCAAAGTGGCACAAACTTTTGATGAGTGGTGTTAAATGTTTTTCTAATCATAAACTGTGACCAGTAAGAGTCAGTAACTTCAGTCAAATCATCCGCGTAAAGATTTCTGATTACAGGAACATAATTCCTTCTAGTCTAAGACACCTTCTTGTCCAGTTTTCTTGCTGCGACTTCAAATGCCACCACTCTGTTGTCAGTCATTTCTTCTGCACATATCTAGAGAGCAAGAAGCAGTTTTGCATTAAAAATGTGAAATAAGTTCACTCAGATTTCACCAAATCACTGCGTCCCTCACTCAAAGAAACTCACAGTAATGGTTCCCTTTCCTGCAGGCATCTTGTCCTTCTTAACAAGTGGTTTTGTTAGTTTTCTTGAGGACACGATCTGAACAGAAAGACACATCTTAGTCATCACTAAACAACGCCAATACCACTTCCCACCACTTATAGCTCTTTCAGTATATATATAGACAAATGGCTTGTAATGAAAATCAAAGATGGCAAACCTGTCCCAAGGTACACTCCAGCTGTCCCAGGAAGTCAGCCTCTTGCAGACTGCAGTTTTCAGTGTCAATATCGTGCACTTCAAACCTCAACTTCTGCACCATCTCAAAATAGTAGTCGAGGACAATAGGCTTGGAAAACTTGGGACTGAGGCAGTTCTCGATTTTCTCCGTGCGACCAACCTAACACAAACACGTTTCACAGTCAGGGATTTTCTTTTAGGAACTTTTAAAGTTGAGCTGTTGCCCTAAAACTGGAAATTGATAACTCTCATTTTTTTTTAAGAGTAAGGCCTTTCAAATCCACACAACAAAAACCTACTTACCTCAAACCAGTGGTTTCCAGAGGAGTTCATGAAAAGCACGCATAGAGGGTCGGACTTTGAGAATGCATCCATGTCGAGCAGATGGTCGCAGGAGATGCTCAGCGACACCTTGGTCACACAGTCTGCGACCCTCGTCTGCTGGACTCCAACTGCCGCCATCGCAGCCCGGAAACGCTCAACTCACAAGAGCTGATGACCATAAATGTGGATAAACAGAAAATGAACATTGTGCAAAAGTCTTGTGCCCCCCTTAAACATTTCATTTAAAATAGGTGCAGCAATTTACTGAAAGATGCAAAGATACATAAATTCAAATGAACTTGGAAGTCAGTGTCTGGAATTACTGCCTTTATTCCTCAATGGAGCCAGAACTCTCTTAGGCAAGCTCTATAGTAATTTCTGTGAGCTTCAGGAACAATTCTCCAGGCTTTCCAGGAAGGACTTTTAAAGCTTTTCTCCGATTTTGTCTCCTTTTGTTTTGTTCTTTGTTGAGATGATCCCAACTGCTTCCATAATGTTCAAATCTAACAGGCGGAGGCCAATCCATGACTGATATGGTTCCTTTGTGTGTGTGTTTTTTACCCGGGTATGTTTTTAGTTATTTGGCAGTGTGTTTGGGATTATTTTCAGGCTGAAAAATGAAGCCACTGCCAATCAGACGCTTTACAGATGCTACAGGTAAGGTGGATCAAAATCCTCTTCTGCATTCATAATTCCATTGATTTTGAGAAAATCTCCAATACATCCACAATATTTTATCCATGGCTATAAACACACACCTCTCTCCTGACCTCCTCTGGTTTTTTATTTTTATTGTTTTATAATTTAGACAGTTGCTGTGCGAGCATGCAGGTGGTTTCTCATTCAAGTCAATTCACTTAAATTTTATTTATTTATAAAAGCACCAAATCACAACAACAGTTGCCTCAAGGCACTATTGTAAGGTAAAGACCCTTTACTAATACAAAGCAGAGAGAAAACCCCAATCATATGACTCCCAATGAGTAAGGGCTTTGGTGACAGTGGGAAGGAAAAACTTCCTTTTAACTGGAAGAAATCTCCAGAAGAACCTAGCTCGAGGAGGGGCGGCCATCTGCAGCCAGTTGTTTTCTCTGCTGCTCTTCCCTCTCTCTTGACGATGTGCATGGAGAAGTAACTGTGCAGTTACTTCATGTGAAGTAACTGCACAGAATTTCTGTTTTATGTAAACAGCTTTGGCGGAATAAACCCACTTCAGCTGGCAAAGGAACAACCAACTCAATTAAAACACTTAATTCACACCACACAACGCCGATTGCAGCAACATAGAGTTGAAGGCCAGACTAGCTACACACACATGCAAATTAAAGGCTAGGTTTTTTGGGGGGGTTTAAACCTCCTGGTTCCTAATGTAATTGTTTAAATGCACATAAACTGTACTTGCTGTCACCTGCACCTAGACTGAAACATAACTTTGCTGTTTACATGTGTCCAAAAACCTTTAGGCGTCTGCAGTACCGGGGGAACCGGTCACGTTCAGTGTGACTGTAAGTTTAGGGTACCCTTGCTAGATGTTTTTTTTTTATTTTAATTGTTTTGTTTTTATGGCTCATAAAAAACTATTTGAATAGCAGACTTTTATTTTTTATGTAAAATTGTTAGAAGCTTTCTGATGTTGTCTACTTGTTAACAAAATTAAATGTTCAGATTTGTCATTGTAAAACAAATCTCATTTTAAATGGGTGATATAACATATTATTACATTAATTATGCAATAAAAGCCCCAGATTTTTACCTTAAAGTCACATAATAAAATTAAGTATAAATAAAGTAAATAAAGTAATCTGGGCGCTACAGCTTTAAGCAGCTTGCGCGCTCCCGCGGGCGGCAATTTCTTTTTGGCACAACACCTGGAGCTCAGGGGCAAAACAATCGCATGAGTGCTGCTGTTTGACTGAGGAAGAATAAAGTCTATATTTAATGTCAAAAAACTCTTTTTTCTAACATCTGTATTTCCCTGTTTTAACTACAGAAAGTTTTCATTATGTCATGATTGTATATTTCCATGATTTCATGGTATTTTTTCAGGCGCTCCAGCTACCGCAGTATTGCTGTTTTGCCACAGCTGTTTTCTTTTTTTAAAGGCTGTTTTAGATGCTTTCTTTCTTTCTTTTTTATTGTTTTGTTTGAATGGTTCACAGGTCAGTGTTAAATGGCTTAACAAACACAAAACATTCCTGCGAAAATGGTCAGGTACAAGGACCGGACTGAGGAGTGGTCAATGTCCAAAGAGAAAGCTTGGTGAACGATTGCTCAAGAACCTACATAAATGTGCGGCTGCTTGGAAGCGAAAAATAAAGAAATCAGTGATGACTCAAGACTTTTGCACAGATTATTTGTCAGCCAAATAATCAGTCACCTTATTATTGATCTATTACATTATATTAAAACACATGGTTAGTATTTTAGTGTAATATCTGTTGGCTTTCTAGTTAATGTTCTCATTCAAAGCCATTTAGAAATTACAGATGTACTAATAATAATGCACAGTCAGTGGAAGATGCTTTTATATACATGATATGTTATACATTGTATTTTAATGTACATATTACATTTGGATTTGGGTTGATCATTTACATAAAAACCAACCACCATGAAGCAGTGGAGGACGTGACCAGCAGGGAAATACCAGCATAGAGAATGAATCATATCCGTTATATCAAAATATCTATGCCGATACTCCCCTCAACACGTGTTTCCATGTATTTTGCAACTATCTTTGTGTTATTGTTCATACTCCGTGTTCTACAATATAATAAAACTAATCCTTTTTGGTCGCTTAAAACATCTTTATATAACTGTCAGCGTATATTTGTTGGGACTTCTGCTGCCTTCTTGGCCTGACCTTTCTTGAAAAAGACGTTTTAAATGTCAATGAGACTTTTACACTGATAAATAAAGAATTTATCAAAGTTGCTTTGCCAAAAAAAAGGCTGAAGCTTCCATCTCGTGACAGAAATATCCTTTCTCTCTTAAAAATGTCTCGATATCATTCACGAGAGATATGTTTGACACACATTTCCCAGATTATAGAACAAGTCAATCCATCAGAGACAACTGACAAACATTATTACATAGTAAATAAACCTTAATTAACGTTACAATATTAGATTTAGTTGCCTAAAAACTTCTCTAAAGAAACACAGAAAGGTTCACGCTGTTCACATAAACACCACGCGAAAAGCCACACCTACGAACTCTGTCGTTAAGTTGAATGGGTTTATTATCAGCGACAGTCACATGACGCGAGAAAAAGTATATACACACTCTGTGGGAATTCATCAGCAGCGCTTAAACTCTTGAACAATTGCAAATGTCTAGACTAGCGCGGTGGTAGCTTACCTCGTAAGCCTGCTTGCTAGCGACACTGCTGCGGTGCTGTGGTTTGTTTCCAGCTGCTGCAGCAACAGCACAGCTAGCTCGGTGGTGGTGGGCGGAGTCCAGTGCGCTCACTTCACGTACCGACCGCAAACACGACCTCCCAAATCAACTGTACGAACTACATGAGACCAAAAGGTATAAAACTCACACACAAACACATATACTGTAAAAATAATAAACAAGGACACAACTTTTGCCATTACGAAGTCAGCCCAAAAGCTTATAATAGCCATGCGGGTGGTGTATGGAGGACTATTAGTGTCGCGGAAATTACAATTAACTATTTTATTTAATAGTAAACGATAAAAACACATGAATTCGTACATTTATTTAGAATTAAAGTGACACCATAATTTAAGTAAATTACCAACCAGCTCACTACTTCGTGTTCACGTGATCGTTGAGCCCATTCTTAGCAGCTGTGTGTTCCACTCGGGTTCCACTACATGTTGCCCTGCAGTCACGGATGTCAAACATAAAGCCCGGGGGCCACAATCGGCCCAGCAAAGACTCCAATTTGGCCTTCTTGACAGCTTTGGAAAATATGTAGGAAGGTATACATGTTTGGACTTTTAACTGTAGTTTAAGTTTAAGTTTTGTAAGTATGTAAGTTAAACAATTAAATGGTAGAAAAGTTCCCATTTCTTAACTGTCTACTACAGAAATTTCAGTTTAAAGATTGTAAGTTGTGAATCAACAAAAATGTAATGATTTTTAGATATAGGACAGTCTGGTGAGCTACCAGAACGTTTTCAGTAATTTTATATATTTATCATGCAGAAAAACTGAGATGTGTTGTTGAAATTGCACTTCTTTAACTCTTATTAAGATTTTCCCTTGCCCTGCCTACTTAAGATCATAGTGGGTTATATGTAGTCATCAGTGTAAAAATGATTTTAACATCCCTGCCCCAAACTTTCCATAAAAGGCATCATGCTAACACAGCTGGAAACTGGACAAAATCTTCAGAATACCTCTCTGAAAAAAAAGAAATTCTAAAACTCCTCGGTTCTTGTTATGAAAAACAGTGAGGACCATTAATGTGTGAGAAAGCCCAAAAATGTTTATAGTGTGTAGTGGTCCCTTCAAAAACAAGTATAGCTGTTTTGGTGTCATTTAATAAAGTAGCCAAAGTAAAGACTTGTAAGACGTCTGTTTTCCAACAACCAGCATCTGTATTTGTGCATTAAATGGAGGACTTGTACAGAGAGATATCCACAGGCAGGAATGACTTCCTGTGTCTTTCAGTGGTGCATTTGAGTAATCTCACTCTATCAGTGAGCGTCCTCCTGTGACTGGCCAGCACGTCATGGAGTGGGTGGGGGGTCCAGCACTATCCTTATCTTGGACAACATCCGCCTCTCTGAAACCAACTTAAGGGAGTCCGGCTTCATCCCCACAACATTACTGGTCATGTTTATTGAGTTTGTTTTTCTGATCCTTCCAAGATATAATAGACTGTAGGATGTAGAATACAGCCTGTCTTTATATGAGCTTGCATTTATAACAAACAAAATTTACAAGAAATGGGAGGAAGAGGAAGGAAAGATTCACAGCAAAACAGTGAGAAGGTGGCTGAGGATATCTAAAAGAATAAAAAGCAAGAAAAAAACAGAAAAACTCATCTCTGCCTCCTACCACCTACACCCACTCCACTCCTTCTACCTTTAAGCTTAGAGATCTTAGAGAGATTGAAACTTATATTCTCATTTATCATTTTTTTAGGGTGTGCTAATTTTTTTTAATTGTTTTTTTTATAAGCCTCAGCACCCTAAAGCACTTAGTTAGGAGAGGAACTTGCTCTGTTTAAAGGAGAATGAATGCAATCTTTATTTAGCTACAGTATTACCATGTTATGACATGTTATGTGAGGTGGTATTACATCTCAGGGTTGCCAAGAGGGGTTTGAACCCTTTAGTTGCCTAGCTAATTCATGCTGCCTTAAAATGTCAGATTAAACTGCAGGTTAACTGAATTTCCATTTTAGTGCATGTGAACTGAAAGGAAAACTAAATGACTACAAATTCAAAAGCTTATAGGAAAATCCCCTATTCTCAAGTTGAGTGTTTGTTTTTGTAAATCCCTTTTTAATAATCATAAAAAAAACTACAGTATTTACAAATGCCTCAAAAGATCTCTCCACATTTGTCTTTTTCCCGTGCAGTTAGTTCTTAGTTAAGGAAATGTTTAAATACTTCTGTGACAACTGTAGTCCTCAATACAGCTTTCTCACAGAACGAACCAATCGAGTCCTACCAACGTGCGTGTTGAAACGAGAGCATGCTCCCTTTCACAATATGTTTTACATATTGGGACCTGATAAAAAATGATTATGTCCTGACATTAATAACAACAACACATGACATTTATTTAACAAAAACTAAGTGCACTCCATGATCCAGCAGCTTGTAGCACCAAAACTTCAAGTACAGTATAACGCGGTTCACCTTTTGTGCCCTTGCTGTTTCGCGGATTTTTTTGTGCAATTTTGTTTGTAAGTTTGTAACAATATCGACGAAACATTTTGCACCTGTGGGTGCCTTTGGTTTCATTTTATAATACTGGACTTATTTTTCTATGAAAGTTTGAACTTTAAGAGTGTTTAAACAAGAGATGAAAGTGTGAAAATGTTCATGCCTGAAAAGTGTAAAAAGTGTGTAGTGAGGGGTTTTACAGCCTTAAACATCTATAATAACTGTAAAAAATAAAGTTGGCTACTTTGCAGATTTCACCTATCGTGGGTTATTTTTGGAAAGTAACTCCCGTGACAAACGAGGGCCCACTGTACCAGCTTTAAATCTGTGTTCTGTTCGTTGCATCATTTTACATCGTGAGCCACGTATGTTGATCTTGTGTGAAACTTCCTTTTCTGTCATTGTACAGACATTTAGCTACAATAAGACATTTAAATATAAAAAAAGAAGTGTAATTTACACAGCATGTTTAGCTGCACGATAAAGAAACCCTGCTGTAGTAACTGAAATAAATCTGTCAGCATACAGTTAAAAGTCTGAAATGTATGCCCTCCTTCACATTTTCCAAAGCCACCCAATGGGCCAGATTGAAGACTTTGGAGGGCCACTTCTGGCCCCCAGGCCTTATGTTTGACATGCCCAAAATTATGATGGAGGAGAATAGTTTATTACATTTATTTGTTACTAGAAATTTATTTTACATTATCTGCAGTCTAAAATGTATATACACTATACACTACGATAATATACAGTAAGTATGAAAACATGTTTCTGCATCAATCATGAGGATATAAATCCTCATGGAAATGTGTATACACACTGTGGTACTTAATCTAGTTAATAACCATGGTTACTAATTCACTTTTGCCGCCAGATGGCAGTTCCTTTATTTAATTTGGGAAAAGACTGTCGGAAGCAACCACTGTGGGCCACACAGGGGAGTCGAAATCATTTCCAACCATTATAAACAACAATAAATATTCACAACGTATAAAATCTTGTTAGCAAACAAGGTTACATGTCAAAGTCTTTAATTAAGGTAGCAGGAGTCAGGTTGCTAGCTGGGAACATCCAGTGTAACAATGTAGACTCTGAGCTTTGTCTCAGCAGATATCCACCGTTTCCTTTTATGTTATGATCACACAACAAATAAGGTGCCATTCGTTTATGCAACAAATATAGCATTTAATCAGCAAAGCCATGTGTGAAGATGCACGGAGTACACTGTTATTTTTTTCCTGTTATTACGATTTCTTATTAATTACATGCAGTGAACAAGCTGGAGGGTCTCAAATCACATGGAAAACACCTCAGTCACTCAGCTTATTAGAGAAACTGTAATACTAGTGATTTACATAGATGTTGTGAAAAAGTCAACTGCACAACATTAAACTTGCTGTTTAAGGCCATTTGGGTGCTCTTTATTAATTGTAACAGAAACTGATTTCTGAGCGATTAAAAGGATAAGGTTGGCTTGCACGCTTGTTCAAAGCCACTTCCTGTTTCCTTTCATCCTGACCACTGTGATGCTACATCTTAGGCAGCTGTCATGCAACCACTTGTTTAGAGCTTTTGCAAAAGGGTGACTCTCAACCACCCACACGGTGATGACATCATGGAGAAGAATCCCAAATTTTAGCCTGAGGAAGCATTTCCGCAGCCATAATGATGTCCTGCTCTGGATTTTATTTGTGAGCCATGCAAGCTGAAACTGATCGTCATTGTATACAAATATTAAATTGTTATTATTATTTATTTATTGGTTAATGTATTTTTTCGGATGGCATGTGATTTTAAATAGCATTAACTGCTTTCTGAGTTGTTCCAGTTTACCATTGTAGATTTCACCTCAGAGTTGATTTGCTGCTTTCCAGTGTTCCGGTGTGAAGCAATCATTAATCTGTAAATCTCAAAATGTAGAAAGAGAGACAGACAGGAAGTGCATTGGAGATACTCGAGTACATTTAACCTGTTTTACTAGGACGGCTCAGGAACATTAAAAAGATTAGGTGGTTTCAGCTTGTAGGCATTGAAGAAGGATGCGACTTGATCGGGAAGCTCTGCCAGCACGCTCTGCGCCAGGGCCACGCTGTTTCTCTGCAAACATAAATTCACAAGAATGAGAAGTCGGCTTGTTCAGCAGCACTCAGGTTTGCGCGTGTGTGCTGAGCAGAGGAAGGCTGGCTGTCTAAAGCCTCGGAGCTGCTGCCTACCTGGAAATTTCTGAAGGGCACAAACTGCACGATGTCTCTGGAGGCGACGACCCCGCTGGGCGCCTGCAGCAGTTTGTCATCGCTGTCCAGAAACTCCATGGCGCTGAAGTCTGCCCCGCCAACACCCACTATGATGATAGACATGGGCAGACGAGAGGCCTCCACGATAGCGGCACGTGTATGGTCCATATCTGTGATCACTCCATCCGTGATGATAAGCAGCACAAAGTAATTCTGCACGATGACAGAAAAGTAGATTACAGAGTTGGGGATTAGATGGCACATATATATTCTGAAACACATATACTTGTATACACTAAATACCAATGTTAAGCATTTGACCCATATACTCAAATTATTTGTGGCTCATATACTTTGGTCAAGTATTATCTACATTTATATCGTAAGTCTGCACTTTTTTGTATGAGCACCTGTTGATGCACGGTGGTTATTTTGGGATTTAATTTAACTTTGACAGTTTTATGGCCTATTGAGAAAAGCTGTGACATATGGTTAGTCACTCTAAAAGTTCAAACTGTCCAAAGTTGTAGAAATCCCCAAGTGATACAAATTATATCTTAATTTGCAGGTAAAACTGCTCTTAAAGTCATAAAAATGTCAAGCGGATTAATTGTTTTTACTGTTAGGCTGGCATAAATCTGTCATAATGAGCCATAAAAATGTTGGATGCTAAAATTTGAGAAGAAAGCCCAGAAAGTTAGACAAAGCAGGTGTTCATCAGGTGTATATCACAGAAAAAGCCAAGTTGTGTAAAGTAGCTAATTGTTGTAAAATAAAGATTTGGACACAGTTGGGGAAACACATACAGTTTAGCATATTATGCAGATGAGAAAACAGAAGCTCGCACAACAATGTCATGGGAGCAAAACAGCAGAAGGGTGACTGAAGTGTTTGTAAGCAGTGAGTGTCTAAACACTTCCTGCTTCCTTACTGAGGCCACGTGCTGCTGGAGAGCTTGTCTGGCGAAGCGGGCCACATGGTTGATGATCGGGGAAAAGTTGGTGGGACCCCAGAGCTTCAGCTGAGGCAGACAGTGTCTGTAGGCATCCACCACGCCCTCTATGCCTGCGGCACACACATCCACAGGTACAGTGGTTCACCATTACAGCATCCATGGGCAACTTTCAAGAACCAAACATAGCTTTGTGAGAAGTTTAAACCTGCCTGAACAGAAGGGATTTGCTGGATTGAAATTGACAGGAAACTCATGGGACACCTGTAGGAGTAAAATCAACAAAAGCTTTAGACGACTGTTCAAGAGACCTGTGTTTGACATGTACATGACACAACACGGGGGCGAGGGGGGGGTACATGAACGATAAGAAGCAAGCACAGTGTGTTTGTATAAGAATATACATATACATATGTCGCAGTTGAAATTGATGCCTCACAGCAAGATGGTTCCTAGTTTGAGTCCTAGCTGGAGCCTTTCTGGGTGCACGCTGTCCCTGTACCTGGGTGGGTTTTCTCTGGGTACTCCAACTGCCTCCCACAGTCCAACGACATGCATATTAGGTTAGTCAGTGAATCGAAATTGGTCATGGATGTCAGGCAATGTGGTAAAAAATGGGAACTTCCAGTCTAAAGCGCTTTGAGTGATCAGTAAGATTGGAAGAGATCATAAATGTCAGGTGAAATAAACACATATTGTGAGCTGCATGCATATTTGACTGGCTTTGATTATAATGGAAGCCCTGAATAATTGGCCATTTAACCTAGCCGGTGCTAGCAAACTAGCAGACGGGTTCCCCGAATGATCTGAAGCTAATGCAAAGTTAACCCAAGCAGATATCTTCCTAAAGCACAACTTTGAATATGAAAAGCTCTTGGTGGGACTCTCGCTCTATAGCCGTGAGCGGCCTATCTGGAGCTTCGCTTGTTCTCCTGCTGCAGATGCTGCAGTGATGTGTGGCCTCAAGTCTTTGGTACTCTTGGGGGCTGCGGATGGGGGGCGTTATCCCAGCCTCCCACCCTCATTGTCACGTACATTTTGTGACAAGGACACTCACTCTCTTGCTCACATACTCTCCACATACTCTGCTGATTTGCAAATCTGTGCATCTTTGTATTTTTGTTCAGGCACTGTAGTTGTGTTGTCTTACAGATGCAGAGGTCGACAAAAAAAAGGTTGTTTTTCCCCTTCTGCCTCTTAGCTTGCCACCGTGCTGCCCATTTTACATATAATGTAATAACTGAAATAACACTCATAATGAAACATGTGAACAAGAGCCCCAACCCAGCATAAAGATCATAATTCTGATTGCAAACGTTTCCAGACACGTCAGGACACAGAGAAAAAAGAACAATAATAAAGAAGCTGATGTTACAAACTGCTGCATCAGCTCCCTAATGAGGGATCATTCAATTGTTCATCAGGCTCACAGCATCACGCCTTCTACTGCCGTGCCTCAGCAGCTGAGCTACGCTCCACCACCCTACTGTTCATTGAGCATTACCAGTCAGAGCAAACTGCCTTTCATACACACCGGGACACTCAACAGCCCCAAAACCACACCATCATGTGAGAGCGCTCTGAATTCAGCAGTCACATCCAAGTAACGAGTGGAAATGCCGCAGCACTGGTCCTTTGAGACTCTGCAAATTTCCAGTGCTTTTCAATACCCACAATTCCAGCCAAGAGAGAGAGGATGAACACAATAAAGCACCTTAATAACTCAGTGATATCGAAATAACAACTTTGTGTCACACATATGGCTCAATGATGCTGTTTCTTTAATGAATATTTCATACCTGCCAGGATGGAGGGAGCTGGGCTCCAAAACCAAACACAGGAAACATCTTCTTACTACACAGAGACAGAACAAACTCATGAGCTCATCGAGCGGTAGATCAGTGGGCCCCAAGTTTGAACAGAAACTAGTTCCAGGGAAAATGTTAGTAGGTGATTATCAAGGATGCTGCCGCTAAAGATTTTTAATATTAACACTGTAAGTAGCAAAAAGGTTAATAATTTCTGGGGGGGAGGGGTTGGTGTAAGTTGGTGATAAGACTCTTTCATTCTGCTCAACTCTGGCTTAACATGTTGTTTTTTTAGTATCTGTTTCTTCCTCTGATATCATTACTTTAGATGGTGGGATGATGTAGGATGCTTGGGTTCACCTGTCGTAGTCCTGGATGACATTGCCCACTGACCAGATGGCTGCCAGGTACTCATTGTAGCCCTCTGGGCTGATGTAGTGGAGGGACTGAGGAGACCCCGGATCCCCGTTAGAGCCCGTGAAGTCAATGGCGATCTGGACCGAGAGGATACGGGTCAACATACAGAGAGCTTTTCAGTCACCAGGTAAACGTCTGACATACTTCATATGTATTCTGCGAGTTTCAGAGTGCCGTGCAATGTGACAGTCAATTTAGAAATGTTACAAATCTTACCAAACAATTTATTTACTTTAACAATAAAAATATTTCCACACTCACAGTGAAGTTGATTTGGCATCCACCCATGATATAATCCAGGAAGGTGTATTCCCTCACTATCTGTAAAAGTAAAGAGTACGCTAACAACGTGCAGCAATGCACAATGTACAGAGATCCAAAACAAACCTGGTGGGACATATGTTGTAAAATCGAGGCAGAGTAACAGTTTTAATTCCTTACCTGGCACTGCCGGATGCAAACGACCCCGGAGTTTTTATAGCTTTTCTTCATTGACTTTTTGGGGTTAATACATTCGAATTCAGCCTGAAACGAGACCATGTTAATGTCAGTGTGACATAAACACTATAACACACACGAGACACACACACAAAAGATAAAGGGCCTCACCGGGGAGATGTGCGTCCCCGTTTGCATCTCTGCTAGTGTGGTTTTAAAGCTCCCAATGAGATCATGGGAGCCGCTGCTGTGATGGTCGTAACAGTCAACCTGAGGACGCAAAACAGGAAGAGTTTTCTCTAACGGGGGACCACGTAAAAACTACTGCATGAACAGTTCAGATCATACAGGAGGAGAGAAAGAGTAAACCATGGTTGATGATGAAGTTGTCTTTTTTTAGACTGCTGCCAAAACCCCCACTAATCATTCACTATTTACAGTCAGTGACGAAGTGTCATCATATTCTGAACACCTGACATATGGAAAGAGTGCAAACAGTTATCAGTATAAATGCAAAAGCTAATGCAGTAAGTCAAGTGAGTAAACAAAGAGGAAGAAAGCCTCACCTGGTGATGTCATGAATCGTGCATACATGCATGTAGCGCTTATCCAACTGGGTCACAAGCACTCCCTTTGTTTTATATGTTTGGGAGATTTGTAAGATAATAAGAGAATTGCAATTACAAGATTAGTTGTTAGTCAGCAGTGTGGTCAATAAAGCCAATTCGAAAATTTTAAAAAGTGAGAGAGGGGGATGAAATCCACTGTTTCACCCATTGGAGTGTTACTTAAGAAGTGCTTACAGGTTTTGTTAATTGGGTGCATTTTATTGTGCAAGTTCACTGAATAGAATTACCTTAATAGGCTTCTCCACATCTCCTCCACAAAGAGTTCGCAATGAGATGCGGAACGGCCTCCATATTGGATTCAGGTTGTTGTACACAACCTGCATAAACAGGTTACCGTGAGTAACGAGTCCACGGGAATTTAGTGCACGCCGATGAAGGACCTGATGGTAAATGTGTGTACCTCTGTCCTGTGAGCCAGCTGCCATCCAGTTTCTGTCTGCTTGTAGAATTCCAGGAAAGGGTCGGACCACCACAGATACTGACAAACCATTCCCAGTTAGTCATTCACAGAACTTACATTTAATGGACTTTATTAAAAAACCCTGAAGCAACTTTCATTACCTTTTTGTCCAGCCTGCGGGCAGACACTTCAAAGTTTGCTACCCTGGTGTCTGTGATTTCTTCAGCACAGATCTATCAAAAAGGAGAAAAACATAAAGATTTGTGCAGTTTTATACTGAGGTTCACAGTGGTTTTCTTTTATGTAAAAGATTAACATAACCTCAGCTATATACAAAAAAAAATGAAGCCAATTTAAAAGTGCAATTGCATTCTTTCTGATGGCCAGCAGGGGGCAGCTTCTCTAGTTTTAAAAAGAAGTCTGATTGTGCAGAAATCTATGAGAAAATCAAACAATTTCTCCCTTCATGAATTACCTTAGTAATATTTTCCCAGTAGGTTTATGGTCTAAAATGATAGTTTTACTTCTTAATTATTACAGCATGGTGTTCATTTTGTACACTATGGTTTCATTTATCACAAAACAGTAGACCAAGCAGGACAGTAACAGTCATATCCATCACTTGGTTAGAAATTGGCACAAGTAAACTGCAGTTTTACACTTCCAAACCCAGCCATGAGCCCTGACACTTATATTAAACTACAGGAAGCCAATCAATCACTACAAGGGTTCCACAGCTTTTCTTTGTAGCTTGCTAAAATGACTAATTCTAGTAAAATATGAGCAAAATCAACCCTACAAGCTAAGCATATTCTTATTTTTACACACATAGATGCATACAGAAGGACAAACTGGAGAAACTAAGTTCACACAGACAAAAGAGTCAGCTCACTGTGATGGTCCCACGGCCTGCCGGCCTCCTGTTCTTCAGCAACAACGGCCGCGTCATCTGCTTATTAGAAACGACCTGGACACAAATGATGGAAACAACAAGGAGCGCTAAAGCAGTGGGTGAACGACCAATGTTTAAAGAGCAACCTGATAAAGGGGAAACTTACCTGCCCGAGGGTGCATTCAAGCTCTCCAAGGAAATCATCGTCACTCAGGTCGTAGGTATCGTTGTCGATATCATACACGCAGAACTTCAGCCTCTGCACCGTCTCGAAATAGTAATCGATCACAAACCTCTTAGCAAACTTCGGATTCAGGCAGTTCAGGATCATCTCCGTGCGGCCAAACTAATTCACAAAGTAAAAAAAGATGTGTAACGTAAGTCACATGACTTAGGTTAGAACATATTATTTAATGCCAGCCATAGATTTGCAGTCTTAACTCTTATATGCAAAAATCTCGTACCACTACCAATTACATACCTCATACCACTGAGAGTCTGATGTGTTGATGTACAAAGCACACAGAGGGTCAGACTTGGAGAAGACGTCCATGTCCATTAGGTTTTCACAGGAGATGCTCAGCTCCACCTTAGTGGCACATTGGGTGGCTGTGGGCAGTGGGGCCCCACCTGAGGCCATTGCAGCTGTTCCTGAAAAAGATAAACCACAGAAATGTCTTCAGAGCACTTCCATCTTCTCAAAATGCTCTCTTGACTTGTTACTACATATTACTCAATCTTCAGTCATGACTTTAGTCGGGTGGTAGTGGTGGTTGTCCAAAGTAAGGCAGGCTCAGATGGTCAAATGCCACCACAACCAGGCCACTAAGTTCACACATAAATCGCTGAATACTACGCCACCTGGTGGTATGTCCACAGCAATTTAAGAACAAGTACAGTCCTAGAGGCAGTGTGCCAAAAAATGATCGTCTGCCAATTTAAACTGCTATAAATAACTTGTTGGTCTATAATATGTGATAGATATGTCAAATGTACCCTCATGAATGATATCAAGTCATCTTGAGCCACAAACAACATTCTTGTCACAAGGTAGAAGCCGCAAACAGTTTTTAGCAGTGACTTTTTTTATACTTTCTTTTTATTGTTTTTCTTTAAACATTAGAGGGCAACAACAAAACAGAACATAAAAACAAAAATAATAATGCTAGTGACCTTTATTTATCCAGTTAAAAAAAATCTTGTTGACATCAAAAATGTCTTCTTTTAAGAGTAATCTGGCCAAGAGGAAGCAGAAATTGCAACAAATATAACAATAGTTATGTAAACAGATTTTGAGTGGAAAAAAAGAACCGGATTGGTTATAATGTAAGTACAATAACAGAGACTTATAAAGATACTTGAAAAACTGGTAATTTTTTTTTTTTTAATTCTATTTTACCCCTTTGTAAACCCTGTTCACCGAAGTCTATTTACCAACATTCGTAAAGATATTAGACATAAAAAACAACACAGAAACAAATCAGTTTTTGGCAGGCGATCACTTTTTGGCACAGCATCTGGAAGCCGGAGCTTAGGCTACACAAACCCTTGATTTACACACAAAACTGCACACACAAAGAGACAGAAGTGAAAGTATGGGTGAGTTGTAACTGATCACGTGACTGTAATTTCAGAGCTTCGAGCGAAATGTTAGAAAACCGTCAATCAATCAATCAATCAATCAATCAATCAATCAATCAATCAATCAATCAATCTTTACTGACAGACTTTATGTCATAGTTGAAAATAAGTAAATAAATAAACTGTTCGTGTTTAAAAATCTGGATCTCTCTCTCTCTCTCTCTCACACACACACACACACACACACACACAGACATATATTTAATTTTGCTGTGATGACTTTCCCCTAGATTTCTAGCTTTGTAGTACCACCACCGAATAATGTAAGTTACCGTTACTCGAGCTAACACATGCAGGCAGTGACAGTTAGGTGGAGCTCTAACAACCACACCACTTCTCCCTTTCACACTACGTTACCTTTTCATAATGCTTACTGGATCATTTACCTGTGTAGTTGTTGACAAATATACACTTTTTTCTGCCTCTGCTCTGAACGCGTAACGTTAATCTGACGGCAACAGCTGTGTCGTCGCACTGGGTGGAGCCCACACTCTGCCCTGCCCAGTGTTCTGCTCGCTTCACAACTTCCACTAATTTTACAACTACTTTTACCTGAAGTTGAAGTTTTGTGTAAATGCCTGTTTGGTGTGTCTGCTTCACCTGGACAACATTATATTAACAAACACGCTGTTGTAACATTACTGTACGATAGGCGCTTCATATTATGCCGGAACGTTCTTGTGTTTCTGTTGTTTCTCTGTTTCTCGCCGAGTCGATAACAAAGCGGTACAGCGTTGTCCGGGGTGCATTCAAGAAAAGTGTTTTGCAGCTGTGCTGAACGCCAATTTAAGCTGCTGTTGGTGATGCGACCAGGTACCATCTAGTTAAAAGCTCTGGGAGACTTTTCTCTGGACGGACTGTGAGTAGATATTCATTTAGCTTATAGAAGAGCTGCTGTGTTGTTTTCAAACCAGTGTTGGCCAATAAACAGACACCTGATTTGTCTAATTTTGAGCTGTTCTCAATCCAAAGACTGCATTGTTTTGTCTAATAATATTCACAGAAGAGCTTTTCCGTTTTTGGTCACGAGAGCTTGTATTTTTGCGTTTTCTATAATACCTAGTAATGCTAAGGTAAAAGGCTAGCTTCTTAAACTTTTGAACACCAGTGTTGGTCAAGTTACTTGAAAAAAGTAATCAGAAACTAATTACTGATTACTTCCCCAAAAAAGTAATCCCGTCACTTTATTGATTACTTATTTTCAAAAGTAATTAATTACTTAGTTACTTTTTAAAAACATGATTTACAACCTGAATAGGTGATAAAGCGATAGATCTTTCAGCTCAATTCTACTTTTTCTACATAATCCATCATACAAAATGTAATCAAATGGAAAAGTCTCTTTTTAAAACTTGTTTTATTAGTTTTAATCTTTTAACTTTATGCATCAAGCAAAAATTTAATTATATGCAACATTCTCTGACTGGAAGAAATTTGTTTAATATTTAAACCTATTTTCTGCACATTCCAGCACAAAACATAATATATGTTTTGTGTTTACACTCACTCTTTCAAATAGATGCAAGTAAAACACAGCAGAAAATAAATAACATCAAAGACTAGCGGTCCTTTTGCTCTATTTTCACCTGTAAAGCAGGAGCAGGGTAGGCGGAGGTTTACCCTGGTGCAGGTGTGCTGCAGCGGTCAGTGGAAGAATCCACGAGTTTCTCTGTGAGTTTCCCATTACGTCGTAGCGCACTTGGTGCTTGCTCGGAAGTTTAGGGGTTTTTCTTCGCTGTAAAAAGAAGTTTTCTTCCCACGCACAACGGACGCTAATGTTTTTGTCACTTTTTATGGAATCAAACTCAAAATAAGGTCAGTACTTCCACGCTTTAAACGCTGCACGCTCATACTCTCTCCCGTACTTGGTATATTATCCATTGTTGATCTGCACACAGCTGTTGTCACCAACGTGGCACTCGCTTACGTCACTGTCATGAGATGTTCTTGCAAAAAAACTCACGGTTTTAGTAATGCAGTAACGCAGCGTTCCTGAAAGTAACGGTAATCTAATTACCGTTTTTGCAATAGTAATCCCTTACAACACTCACTACTAACTGGAAGGATATCCTTGAATATTTATTTAATTCTGTTGTTTATTAAACTATAACTTTTCTGCTGACAAAACACCACTCAATCGATTTTCAGAGACAAGATAATTAAAGGTTTGGGATTTAATACATACAGCAAATAATTTATACATGCTTTTATACAAGCATGTTGTAATAAATATGACGTTAATAACAAATTTATCCTGGTGAAGCATGAATAAAAGAGTATTTCATGTTTGTTTTTTTTCCCACTGTAAATGTTTGAACATATAAAGAGAAAAATAGGCACATTTGCATTGGGTAGAATACATTTTTATTTTAAAGTAAGGATATTTTGTTCCGGCTTCAAAGTATTTACAAAACTGACTTTTATCTGCTCTAAAAATCCACGATTTAGTCATTCATTTATTTATTTTGCAACGTGTTTAATTTGTGCTCTTGAACGCACCATCCCCCCGCTCCGGGGACTCTCACCGAGAGGTTGTAAGTTTGTGTCAGTGTGATGAGTGATCACTGATAGTGTGGACCTGTGATAGGATGGCTGGGAGGATTATAACACGGTGTGTGAGCAGGGCTTTAGTGGAGTTTGGGTCTGGCGCAAACTGCGTAAAAAGCAGAGGGACAAACCGAAACTACTGGACTGCTCTACGAAGGACTTCCACCGCTCTGACTGTAAATAACGATGCTTCTTTCTCATCCAAAATAACCCTGCTTCATTCATTATCACACTGCTTTCTTTATCTTTATGCGAGCTCCGTGATTTGCGCTCAGGAAGGTCAGTGGTGCCACTTCCTCAGAGCTTCATATTTGATATATAGGTGAAGGGGCAACGGGTTTGTAAATGCTGTCAGAGCTGCTTATCCATGCAGGAAGAGAACTACCAGTACTGTATAGGAATGATGCTGCTATGCTTGTCAGCTGGCTGTATAATTAAACTGGATCTCAGCGTTAGTTTCACCTAGAACTTCCTGTAACGTTCCCGTGTGGACTGAAGAATGCATTGACCCCATGGCTTCACAGTCCAGCTCTGGGTTCAGGTTACTCGGGGTCAGCGCAGACGCCAAGAATGACTTTGAATGGGAGACAGTCTGTTCTTGCCTAGCGCTTGCATTCACAAGTGTGTTTTTGTGTCACTTCTTCACTTGTGCACAGAGTGGACGGGCTGCATTCCTGTTGGGGCTCCCTGCGCTGTCGTGCCTCGGCTATGCAGCTTATCGCAAGGTGCAGAGTTCAGCTGTGGTCTGCGCTTTAGATAGAGGTAGATGGCAAACTCAGATACGAACATGTGCTTTTTATTAGGTTTGATCTAGTGAATGTCAGCTGGGCTTTATGGCTGAACTGGTGGGTTTTGTGTCTGTCTAGGGGAGGTTTTGGAGCAGGCTGACTACCTGTACAGCTGTGCAGAGACGGAGAAACTCTACCAGCTGCTGGTGCAGTACAAAGACAGGTAAGGAGAGTTCAGAGGGTTTATTTATTCTATTTGATCTTTGGGTTTTTTGTCTTTGTGTGTGTTTTTGTAGTACAACAACCACATGCCACCAAAGCAAAGTGTTTTACCATCCACAGGGTGTAAAGTTATGGTTTTTGTTTTCATTCAGTCTGAATTTAGTTGGACAATAATGACTCTCTTTGTGTGTTTGTAGCAACGATGCAGAGTTCCTGTGGAGATTGGCCCGGGCTTCTCGGGACCTGTCCCTCCTACCCAACATCGAGGCCGGGCGGAAGAAGCAGCTCACGTTTGAGGCCTTTGAGTACGCCAAAAAGGCCTTGGAGAAAGATGACCTGTGCTCTGCAGCTCACAAGGTGCGATTGTGGTTTCTCCGAGGCCAACTCGACACTCACAGGATGTTGATTACGAGTTTTGACAGGTTTCTTTTCTTTTTCGTCCGCTCGTCACACAGTGGTACGGCGTGTGTCTCAGCGACGTCGGGGATTATGAGGGTGTCAAGGTTAAAATTGGAAATTCGTACATCATCAGGGATCATCTAGAGGTGAGAGGACCTTAAGATGGAAGTCATGTGACCAAAATCACAGCATCATATTTAACATCTGAACACTGATTTTTTTTTTTTTCTTTCCTCTTAGAGAGCCATCGAGCTCAACCCTAAAGACGCCACCTCCATACACATTTTGGGTTACTGGTGAGACTGCTTTTTGTTTTCGTGGGTGGTTTTTTGCTTTTTAACACTGTGAGTGAAAGGAGGGCTCCCCTCTCTCAAAATAGCTCTGTGTGGTTGAACTCTCACACCTACAGGAGTGTTTCTTCCACAACTTCCATGGGAGTGCAGCTGGAATTGGAGTAAATTTAGAAAAAAATAAACAATGCAGTTGTGACTCTCTGCGGCCCAAGGAATGTAAAACGAAATAGATGTCGACTAAATGTGTTGGATGAAACTTTAAGATTAAAATCTTTACCATACGTTCATTTGGTAAAGCTGGATCAGTGTCTGGATTTCAACCAACATGATTAATAAGATAAATGACTAAAAAGCCCTTGAAGCAACTTTCTATGTGCAAATCCCAGAATATATACACCGATCAGGCATAACATTATGACCACCCTCCTAATATTGCATTGGTCCCCTTTTTCTTTCAAAACAGTCCTGATTCGTCGAGGCATGGACTTCACTAGACGCCTGAAGGTGTGCTGGAGCATCTGCACCAAGATGTTAGCAACCAATCCTTAAAGTTCTCTAAATTGTGAGGTGGATTGGACTTGTTTGTCCATCACATCCTGCAATTACTTGATTGAATTGAGATCTGGGGAATTTAGAGGCCAAGCTTTGGACCTCAAACTCATTGTTGTGCTCCTCGAATCATCCCTGAACCATTTTTGCTTTGAGGCAGGGTGCAGTATCCTGCTGAAAGAGGCCACAGCCATGAGGGAGTGCCGTTTGCATGAAAGGGTGTATATGTGTGCAACAAGTAACATCCACATGGATGGCACCTAACATATGCTGTCCTTTGTCTCTCAGGTGCTTCGCTTTTGCTGAGCTGCCGTGGTATCAGCGCAAGGTGGCAGCTGTAATATTCTCATCACCACCCGAGTCTACATACGAGGAGGTGAGCACCGCCCAGTCTGAATCTGACATCCTTTGCTTTCTTACTAGCTGCAGAGTGAGTTTTGTTTTTCTGTGTCTTTCAGGCTTTGGCATTTTTCCTAAAAGCTGAGGAAGGTAGAGTACTGTCACCAACACGGTTCTTTAAAAATAATCACAGACAAACATGTCTGTGATTTAAAAAAAAAAAAAAAAAGCAGTCAGCCGACAAACATTTGTCTCTTGTTTTTCCCAGTCGATCCAAACTTCTACAGCAAGAACCTGCTGATGCTCGGGAAGACTTATTTAGCCATGAAAGACAAGGAGAAAGCACTGCTGTGGCTGACCAAAACAAAGGAATATCCTGCTCACACGCTGGAAGACAAAGAGGTACACACACACCCTGACTCCAGACTTGTGATTTACTCTGTT